TTATCCCATTCTTTATTGCCTGACCACTTGTGATCAGATGAGGGTTTGTTTTCCTGAACCCTTAAGGCTGAGATGGAGAAGTGTGGGATGACAGTGTGGTTAAGTGGATTTGTAACTGATGCTGTGCCCATGCCCAGGGTGGGCTGCGTAATGGATCCGTGTCAGCCTGGGGAGTGTGCTCCAGTGGTTGGCCACAGAGCTCTGTCCTCAGCACCATCCTGGTTAAATTTTTTTTTAAAATTAAGATGTGGGAGACCCACAGACTATATTTTGCAGATGACTAATGGATGGGAGAATTAGCTAATGCAGTGGATGACAGAATTGGGATTCAGATATGCTCTGAGGACGCTAAAATGTTGGGGTGTGGGGCAGGCAATCAGGTGGGATTTAAAATGGATAGAAAGTTTAGAGCAACACGAACTTAGGTGGAAAAAATAATACTGTGGAGATAAGAAATAGGCACTTTTTAAAAAATTGTAGTTTGTGTTTCAAAAGACCCTAAAGAATGATGAACACCAAACTGGAGGGAAGAGAGAATGTGAACAGTGAGAGATACACAGGAGTTTTAGGCTTATTAGCAATATTTTATTTCTTATGCAGGGTAGTGAGTCCATGGGTTTTTATAATATTCTTTATACCTTTTTGTCTGTCTTAAATATTTAATAAATTAAACAGACTCCAGAAGCTTTAGTGGCCAATTAATAGAGTAGTTGTGATGAAATATCTACAAGTGAAGTAGCATCCTAATGTCTGAATAGATCCTTCTGTTCATGGCACTGGACAGCCCAATTTGGGGTGTTATTTAGTACTGAGTACCGTATTTGAAGAGAGACACTGTAGATGCATAAATATTAGGGCATGTTCAGAGAATGTGGGTATGGAAACTATATGACAAATAGTAGAAGGAAATGGGTGGTGTTTAGACCAACAAAGAAATGACTAAGGAGGAATGTGATAGCTATCGTTAGCTATTTGAGGGACTGTCAGATGGAAGAGGGCATAGATCTCCTCTTCTGAAGGGCAAAATCAGGGCCATGGGTAGAATTAGTTTTCTACACAATGGAAGGAAGGGCTTTCTAATAGTCACACTGCCTGGTGGTAGATCAGACTCATTTGGGAGGTCAGCTCTGCATGAGAGGCATTCTGGGATTGCTTGGCCCTCCACTGGCCAGGGATGCTGTGAGGAGCCTTCTTTCAAGGAGGAGATGCACCTAACTGATCTACAAGATCCCTCTTAATTTTTTAATTTCTAAATCATCGAAGACTTGAGCCAATGTGACATCTTTGGTATTGCAGTATGACACTTTGGAAAGCAGCTATGTTCACCACTGTACCACCAATGCTGCCCCGTGTGACACTTTGGTTCAGAAAAATGACAGAACCCTTGCCACTTACTTATGCCCACTTAGTCTAACTTCTGATGCTGTGGATTCTGTGCGAAGTGTCCACGCCTACAGAGAAAGAGACTTAGGTAATGTGACTATTTATCACACGTAAAGCTTGCATGCACACATATGCAGCAGAAGTGTAATTCAGGAGGCTAGAACTTTAATGTGCCATCAGAGTGTTACGTTGGTCAGTATTGCTTTGATATACTTTTGGTTGAATAAGGTATTGTAATAATGATTATTTTTGGTATGATTTGCTTGAGATAGAAATTGTGAAACTGAGTTAAGCTGAGTTCTTGTTTTTTTTTTTGTTTTTTTTTTGAGACAGAGTCTCACTCTGTTGCCCGGGCTAGAGTGCGTGGTATCAGCCTAGCTCACAGCAACCTCCAACTCCTGAGCTCAAGTGATCCTTCTGACTCAACCTCCTGAGTAGCTGGGACTACAGGCATGCATCACCATGCCCGGCTAATTTTTTCTATGTATATTTTTAGTTGGCCAATTTTTTGTTTTCTATTTTTAGTAGAGATTGGGTCTCGCTCTTGCTCAGGCTGGTTTCAAACTCCTGACCTTGAGCGATCTACCCGCCTCAGCCTCCCAGAGAGCTAGGATTACAGGCGGGCGTGAGCCACTGTGCCCAGCCAATTCTTAGTTTTTGATGAATAAATTTTTACTTTGTAAACTTTAACCTCTTTTTGTATGTCTTATGTTTTTTTGTTCCTCTGTTCCTTCATTCCTGCCTTCTTTTGTGTTAAATAGATATTTTCTAGTATGCCATTTTAATTCTCTTGTTTCTTTTACTGTATTTTTTTTTTCTTAATGGTTGCCCAAGGATTGCAATGAACATCTTAACTTAAAATAACCTGGTTGGATTAATACCCACTTAATTCTGATAGTACACCAAAAAACCTGCTACCGTATAGTTTTGTTTTACATGTGTTGGTACACTTGGATGGTGTTCTACAGGCCTCTGAGGCTCTGTTCATTTTCCTCATTTTTGTTTCATTTTTGTTTTGTTGTTTTGGGGTTTCTTTCTTTTTTTTTTCTTCCTTGGATTAGATAATCTCAATTGACCTATGTTTAAATTTGATGGTTTTTCTGCTAGCTCAATTTTTTAAAAAAATTTTATTTTTTTAGAAATAGGATCTCACTATGTTGCCCAGGTTGGTCTTAAACTCCTGGGCAATCTCCTGTAGTCCTCCTGCCTCAGCCTTGCCTGCTCAGATTTGTTGTTGAGCCCCTCTGGTGAATTTTTTGTTTCAGTTACTGTTTTTCTCAATGTCAGAACTTCTGTTTGATTCTTTTTTATAATTCCTATCTCTTTATCAATATTCTCTATGTGGGAAGACATTGTTCGATACTTTCCTTTATTTCTTTAGACATGCTTTCCTTTCATATTTTGAACATATTTAAAATAGCTGGTTTAAAGTCTCTTTAGTAAGTCCAGTGTCTGCATTTTCTCAGGGATAGTTTCTGCTGACTGCTTTTTTCCCTGTGTATGTGTCCTACTTTCTGTTTCTTTTAATATCTTATAATTTTTTTGTTAAAAACTGGACATTTTAAATAATGACAATTTTGGAAATCAGTTTCTCCTCCCTCTGCAGAATTTGTTACTGCTGTTCTTTGGTTTTTGTTTTCTTGTTGTTGCTTCTGTTTGTTTAGTGACTTTTCTGGATTAATTCTCTAGCTTGTATTTTTTGTCATGTGCAGCTTCTGAAGTTTCTGCTTGGTTAGCTTCAAGCTAGTGATTGGACAGGGATTTCCTTAAATCCATCCAACCATTATGTCTCTCAGCTTTTGCTGAGATGCTTTCTGTATGTTGGAGCACTCCCGTCACCATTCTAGCATTTTACAGCTCTGCCTTAGCCTTTACTTCCTGCTTATGCAGATCCTCAAGGTTAGCCAGAGTTGAGAGATCAGGGCCTTCTCAGGTCTTTCCTGTGTGCATGTACAGCCTCTATATATGCACGTGGCATTCTTGATTCCCAGAAGTATGTTGAGGCTTTCGGAGCCCCTCATGGTCATGCCATTTATGGTTTCTACTTTTAAGGTTTTTGGTCAGCCTCTTGCTAGCCCCAACTGGTAGTGCCACCTCAGGCAGCTGAAGTGTGAAAACAGTTGCCCCTTATTTTGGACAAATGCCATGTTGATAGGTTCGAGAAAGCATTCAGTTAGGTCAGCTAAAGACAAGCTTTGAGCATAGAGCTTTCCAGCAAGCTGCCAGACAGGTCAAATGATGACATTTGAAATGGTGATTGAAATTTTGGGGAGCTCTAAACCTGTCAGGCCTTTCCAGTGATTGCTAGGCTGCTAGTTTTTACAGCTGCCATACTTGTGAACCTATTGGTTTTTAAGGCCACCATGGGGCTGGAGGAGGAGATAGGATTAGGGCGAATGAAAACAAGTCAAAGGTCACTGTTGTTACTGAGATTCAGCCATTTTTCATGAATAAATGTTCCTCAGAATGTTGCAAGCCTTTCAATAATTTCCAGAGTTCTGAAAAAGTTGGTTGTGGTCATTTTCAGCAGCCTTCTTGTTGCTTTTGGAGGAGCAGGGTTTTGTAGGTCTGTATCCTGCTGTTCCAAGAGTGAACTCTGTCAGTACTCCATCACCCAAGGTGCTGTGTGTGAGAGTCTGCCCTGCACACACTGTGTGCTCGCTCTCGCTTTCTCTCACGTTCTCTTTTCTCGTCTCTCTGTCCTTGGAGTGGCCCTAAGGGAATGTTAAAGAGCACAGGGTACTGTAAACCACTGGTCACCACTCCCACTGTGGGCAGCAAGCACTGAGCACTTGATCCTGTGTTCTCAGAGCGTGCTGCAGACCCAGTTCACACTGGTCGGCTGGGTCAGTTTCTCGTCTTGACGGCAGAGTCCATCTTTTGCACTCTGGCCAACTTTGTACATCATCCTGTCATGAAGTAAACCCATTTTCTTCCCCCCAAATTGGGGTTGGAAAACAAAACACTAATAGCTAAAATGGCCATTTCCTTTGGATACTGTTGGGATTTGAAACTCAGGCCAGACATAACATTAGTTTCTCTATATAGGATCTTATAGTCCTGGTTAACAGCTTGAGTTTTCTTTTAATTTTAAGAAAATCTATACATTTAAAATCTAAGTTCTCACATGTAAAATAAATTTGAATTTCTTATATGACCAGAAGTTTAAGTTTTGGGCTTTTGTTTTAGGAAAGTCTTTCTTTTCAGAGGCCATTAATCTCCAATTGTATACATGGAAATACAAGTGCTATTGGTAAAAAGTAAAGAGATTCTGTTCTGAAAAGCAATATATGATTATATAGCTAATTACCATGTTAAAGTTTGTATTTTTTTGCATTTTATGTATTTGTGTATTTTCTTCCCTTATTCGTTAGGTTACAATTTAACCAAGTAGTCTAAAATGTGATATTACATAGTGGTACAACAATTTTGAAATCTTGAAAGATAAAACTGGAAACATTTGCCTGTATTTTTTTTCACCTCGGAGTGTTTTGTTAATGAGACATTTTATACTGCCATAAACCCAGGGCAATAATATAGGTGTTGATTGATTTTTGGACGGCAAGGGGCTTTTCTAATTGCAGGATCTGACATTTGTGTCGCTTCTGTGGTTTTAGGTGAGCAAGACATGGAAGGTGATTGCGGAAGATGAAGTGCTGTGGTACAGGCTGTGCCAGCAGGAAGGGCACCTTCTAGAGAGCAGCATCTCGGACTATTCTTGTTGGAAGCTCATCTTTCAAGAGTGCCGAGCCAAGGAACACATGTTAAGAACCAACTGGAAGGTAGGCAGTGTCCAACATCATTACCTGTAGAAGAACAGTCTGCAAGGACATGGAAATCCATGCCTTCACTCACAGCCCGAGGTTAACTGCCAAAAGCAAAGGGAGTGGGGTGTGCTGAGCCGCCCCTTCAGCTGTTGGTGATGTGTTGTCCATTTTGTTCTCCATTAGAATATTTACCCCCATTTTAAGCCACAAGATTTGGGAATAACGTTTTGCTCTCCAGGAGAGGAAGGCATGAAATTGGGTTGCCAGCCACTTCCCCTCTGATTGTTAGGGTCGTTGGATGAGGCTCTGTGCGGCCCCTTTCACTTTTACCAATGCTCTGGAGGGACCAAGAAGGCTAAAAGCACCACCTGCATACAAAGGAGCTGAAAATGTCATTTGCAGTAAATGTAAGAGGGAAATTATTCAATGTCTCTAAGCACTGTCTTCTCTTCCCTCACATAACCTATTGGCTTGCTTCCATAACATTTATCACTTCAAAGTCTCTACAGAAATATTAGATCACAGCTAAGAATTTGCACAGGGAAGTGTTTCTATAGGAGATAACTGTCAAGAGCCGTGTTACATAAAGCTGTTTGAGGCATGGCGAGACAGCAGCATGGTGGCAGTGTTTCTTCCCCACTCTCAAGGCTGGATGTTCAGGCGTAGAGAAGGGATGGAACCATGCTCTTTTCTCTCCGGTAAAAGTCGATCCTAATAGACTTGGAGATGAACAAGCTTTTGCTCATTACTGATAATGACATATTGCCTGTGTGCATGTCTGTCCCTGGTCACCTGATAACCTGATTAGTGACCGATATGCTTGATCTGGGCAACCTCACATGATTTCTAGCAAAGTTAATAAGAGCAGCATTTCTCTAATTCAGGTTTCTCAACCCAGCACTAGTGAGATTTGGGGCCAGATCATTCTTTGTGGTCGGGGCTGTCTTGTGCATTGCAGGATGTTGAGCAGCATCTCTGGCCTCTACCCACTGTACACCAATAGCATTCTCCTCCTTTCCCCAGTTGTGACAACCAGAAATATCTCCAGACATTGCTGGGTGTTCACTGGGGGGCAAAATCACCCTTGGTTGAGAACCACCATCTTGAGAATTAGTGTAGCTGTTGTTTCTTAGGCTGTGAAGACACCACCACTAAGCACATTCACGCTGGACCTGTGGTCTCCATTTGCATCTACCCAAGGTAATAAACTCCTCTGGAGAGAGCCCCTGGTATTCTCACCTATATGTCTGATTAGGTCTGTGTGATGGACACAGGTGAGAGGCAGGCAGAAAGGTGTAGCAAAGAAAGCTGCCCAGACAAACTTGGAGCCAGGAAGTAGGGGGTCTAATCCTGGTTGGAGGGGCTGCAATTTAAGGAAAGCTTGGGAGTTGGGTGTTAACAGAGGCCTTTCTGTCCAGAGAGGAGGGATGCTTTTGAGATGTATAAGCTTGAGAGCTGGAGATATTCAGTGTCCCCTGGCTCACATTCAGTTGCCAGACCCTGAGAGAGAAAGAAGCAGCAACATTTTTTTTGCTTCCTCTTTGGTGATAGCGAAAGCAAGGGAGGAAGGCAGGTACATCCTTACTTGGGCTGGAGGTGGCAGAAGTGAAGGTGGTTGAGACCCACCTCGCAGCATTTGGCACTTAAGAACACTATACCAAGTTATACACAGTTTAAGTGAATGTCTGTTTATTGTTTCTCTCAAACAAGCACAGAGCCATGTTTGGCAAGCACTCAAGAAATGGTTTTCATTTGAGGGGATGGAAGTAGAACTGCAAGTAGAATGTGGAGGAGACTTCTGTTTCGAGTGTCATGGGCCTATTTTCTGACTGTTAATAATGAGAACTATATGAGTGAATTATAAATGATGCATCTTTCATTAAATGTAATTTTATTTATTTATTTATTCTGAGACAGTGTCTCCCTCTGTTGTTGCCTGAGCTGGAGTGCAGTGGCATTATCATAGGTCACTGGCTCACTGCAACCTCAGACTTCTGGGCTCAAGTGAATCTTCCTATCTCAGCCTCCCAAGCAGCTGGGACTATAGGTGTGTGCCACCACACCTGGCTAATTTTTTATTTTTTGTAAAGATGGGTTCTCAGTGTTGTCCAGGCTGGTCTCAAACTTCCAGCCTCAAGCAGACTTCCTGCCTTGGCCTCCCAAAGTGCTAGGATTACAAGCATGAACCAATGTACCCAGCCAGATTCTTACTGTAATTCTACAGTGAAAGACAACCTTATCAAAACATGAAAGATAGTATTAGGGCAAATTGCTGTAACCTTTGTCTGCCTCCATTTTCTCATCTCTAGTGTGGGGCTGAGTAACACCGTTCATAGTGTCATGGTGAGGACAACCGTAAACTGTAGCAATATGTCTAACACTCCTCCTGCAGGGGCCAGGAACTGAACTGGCCACGTTCACTGCTCAGGCAAGCTTAGCTGTAGAAGCTCATAGGCCTTTGCACACAGATATGCTGGTTCTGTGCTATTTGTGGTTGACTTCAGGATGGATTGGGCAGGTGATTTGGTTTGGTACTTCCTAGGTCAGTGTCTGGGGAAACCCCAGAGTTCTTAGGTACCCTCACAAAGGGAGTGGCCTGTAAATGCATGAACTTGGACCTGCAGTTCAGAGCCAACCTGGAAATGGTTTGATAAACTGCTTGTGGTGGCCGTAATGTTTCTTTTCCTGGTGTTTGCATACATTTTTCTTTTTCAGTCTGGCATTCTAGGATGTCTCTATGAGTAGAATACCAGTGTGGGGTTGGAGCCCATGAGGGGAGGGAAGCCACAGGACGGAAATTAGGAAATGCCCTAATCACACAGGTTTTTATCTTAGGCCCTTTGCTTCTCTTTCAATACCTTTTCCCTCCAAAAAGCTCTTCTGTTCTTGTAACTTTGTGGCCCCTACACAGGTGACTCTCAAATCCTTCCCTTCCTCCCTATAACTGCTAGCAGGACAGTTCCACTTGGATATGTCCAGTTTTGTCCCTCAGCCTTAGACTTAAGGTCTTTGGGTTAAGTAAGATCATTATGCAGATGATCTTGTGCAGTTTCTGGTGTCGAGGTGCTTAATAAATGCTGATTTTAATGGAATTGATGTCATCATCATTTTCCTAATAACAGAAATAATAATAGTAGCTACCACTTACTGAACACTTTCTGTGCACAAGAAACTGTGCTTGGGACTTAGGCTATTTCTAACCCTTGTGCCCATCCAACAAAATTATGGATTATTATTTTTTTTTTTAATTTCAGCATATTATGGGGGTACAAATGTTAAGGTTATGTATATTGCCCTTACCCGCCTCCCCCCATACTTGGTATTCTTGAATACATTTATTCATGCTTGCTTTTTGACTTAACTATTCCACTCTTCTCAACCTCCCATGTGTAAATACACAGTCTCTTTATTTTTTATTTTAAAAATGTTTTATATATATTTTCTGAATCGATAATAAATTATCATGGCAAAATAATTCAAAAGTCACAGATTGTAGTAGAATACGCATCTTTCTCTTGCTTCTCTCCAGCTAACACCCAGTTCTCTTCCTTAGGAGCAACCTATGTTTAGGTTTTAGGGTTTCCTTTAAATACTGTTTCCATGAAGCCACTGACTTCTCAATTAGAAATAATGTCATCTCTTCTTCTCTTTTTCCCTATCCTGATCTTTGCCTGTCTGTATATAATTTTTCATTTTATTCTGAGAGTTAACAGGTAATGCATCATCAGATTCCTTCTCTCTGCTGAACTGAACTTTTTAATACATGTTATACACTTCTTCACATACTTGCCACTACTAGCAGATACTTACCAGCCTGCTGTGGACTGTAGTTATTTGTGAGCACATATTTGCTTTATATTCTGTAATCTCTGGGGCAGGGGCAGGGGTAGTGTCTCACATCCTGTGCCCTCTAGTTCTGTGCCTTTATGTATGTATGGTAACTTGGACATGCTTAATAGCTTAACACGTTAAGCTATTAACATTAAAGATGCTTAAGTAAAAGCGTCTTTGTCTTTTTGAATGCCCGGATAACTTTGAATGCAGTACCGTACGTGCCATAGAAAGTGACTGTGGAATGTGATGAAAGCGAAATGCTTTGTGTTTGGCTATCCCAAGAATAGTATAAACTTCATCCCCTTTTCCTTACGCAGAACCGCAAAGGTGCCGTGAGTGAGCTGGAACACGTTCCTGACGCAGTGTTATGTGACGTGCATTCTCACGATGGTGTTGTCATTGCTGGGTAAGCAGAACCATTTTCACTTAGTGCTTTTGTCTGAAGGTCTTCCATTTTTCATGTACCGCCCTCGGAGTCCTAGTGACCTTATCTTTCCTTGAGAGTCTGTCCCTTCCTCGGTTACAGCCCGTGTTGAAGACGGAAAATCTGTGATTCTGTTCCCCGGGATGGGAGCGCTCGGAAGCGAGTGGTGAGAAGCATGTTGTGCAGAGTGCGTCTGTAGTCCATTTGTCTCAATATGTCTTCCAGCTTTTAAGTCACTCTTGTGGCATGTTATGTTAGATTTTCATTAAGGCAAACAGTTTGTATTTTATGAAGACATAAAAAAGTCAAGCAAAAATATTAAGTGTTGGCACAAACAGGTCCTGTTCTTATTCTCTTGTTCTGAAGCCTTTGTGGCCACATATGATCTTTTCTCTCCGCCACACCCACCGCATAGTAGGTATTTGCTGTTTAAGCTCTCCTGAAATAGGCTTTTTATTTGTCTCCCTTGCCAAGACATTTAATTTAGTTTCTGTAAATTCCTTTGGCTTTTGTTCTAAAAACCACTGTCATCAATTCTTCATGTTTTGCTGCAGAGGTACATTTCTGTATTTCTTTAACATACAATAAGATCTGTTTTCTTTTTGAATCAGGAAGGTACATTGAAGCATCGTCTCAAATTGTACGTTTAATGCCATAAATTGGAGACCAGAACACTTAAATTTCCAAGTTTGGATCTGCTTTGGAGTGAGCCACCTCAGGGAGGTTCCTGCCTGCAGGAAAACAAAGATAAACCTTGGGCTTAAAAACTTAGTAGTAGTTGAGTCTTTTTCTTTAAATAAAAAAATTTCCTTAAGCAGGATTCTTTAAAAAAGAGCACCACTTGAATTGAATTCCCAACAGTGAGATTATTTTAATATTTTGTGGTATCCAGTGCCTATGAAAAAGTATTTTTGCTTTAAACAAGATATGCCCAGGAGTAAGGCTTTCCTTCGGCTTCTGTTTCACTGGTTATGAGTTAGGGGTTAATGCCCTTCCTGGGAGTGCTGTAGAACTATTATTTTATAAAGATTAGTGGACCCGAAATCTGGAATTCTGTCCATCCAGTTATCAGTACGCATTGGGCTACTGTACCTTTTGCAAAAACATGGGCCTAAGTGCTCCTGATACGCAAGGTCCTGCCCCCCCCCCCCCGAATTCTGCAGTTGGTGGTAACTCCAAAAGCTACTTGTGTCATTCTAGCTTAAAGGGGTCTCCGCCTAGTGTGTGAGAAGACACTTGAGGACAGAGTGCTGGGATTGGACTGAAAGAGTTATAAAGAGAAATGTGAGATAAAAGAGAGACTTTAATCTTAAAGCTAATTATGAATTTCATATCTGGACATGGAACCTCTGAAAGGCAGGCCCACTGCAAGTGAAGATGCCAGTCCGTCTTTCCCTGCCTCTCTGCTCCCTCGAGGTCTGTTCAGCATTACAGATTATGCCAGCACAAAGCAAAGCGATGGCAGAGTTTTGTGGATCAATAGGTTGAAACTTGATCTGTAGGTCAGAGAGGCTCCTCATGGCTCCTCTTTCTAAGAGAACCTTATGTTTATGGCTTAGCCTGAGATACTTCAGTCTTGCTTGTATATGTAGACCATCTTGTGTTTATCATTAAAATTTTATCTGGTGGTTACGATGCTTGTTTTCTGGGTCAGATCTTGAATCCCTTTTCATTTGAGACAGCGGTGTTTGTGGTTACCTCATTCCCAATCAATGTTGTATTCACCAGGCTTTCTACAGTTATGTATCTCCAAGGAGCTTCTTAAAGAGACAGTGGCTGCCTCACCACTTCTTTCTCTTGTACTTACCTTGCATTTCTCTTATTTTTTTTCTTCTCTTCCCTTTTCTCTTTCTTTTCTACAAGTGGAATCTATTCAGAGGCTTAGTTTTTTTGTATTTAGCACTAAACTATAGAAAATTTTTGCATTTAAACCTAATAAGTGTATTTTATATCCTTGATGGAGAGGTTGGAAAATCTCCTCACCTTTTCACTTCTCTATAAATGTTCCTGGTTTTTTGGGGGGTCATGTTGCATAGGCTTAAACTGTAAGTAGCCTCACAGTCGACCCAGTCTTGGTTCTTCCTTACTCTCGTCACACAAAACTAGAGTAACCTTAAAATAGCCATTCACTCATAAACTCACCTGACAGACCCTCGGGTACCTATCATGTGAACAGGACCTGGCCCCTGCCTGCCTGAGGCTTGTTTTTCCAGAAGAGAAGCAGGCATTTTTCTCAAAGCATTTGAACCTTCACCCTTTTGTCCATAGGTTTTGGCTTAGTAAAGTATCTAGTGAGTAATTTCCACTTACATTTTCCCGATGTTCCATGTTCTTTGACATTTGTTTCCAGCCTACCTTTTTTCTGATTACTCTCCTCAAGAGTCCTTTTGGTTTTTTTCCCCCCACACTGTTCTATTTAGTCACTTCTGACCACATTTATTTATTTATTTTAAAGGTAAAATACAATCATGCACCACATAAGGACAGTCTAGTCAACAACAGGCCCCGCATATGATGGTGGCTGTACCACGTAGCCTAGCTGTGTAGTAGCCTAGTAGCCATCTAGGTTTGTGTAAGAATATTCTATGGCGTTTGCACAACAACAAATGCTAACGAAGCATTTCTCAGAATGTATCCATTATTGAACAGTTCATGACTGTATAATTCACATACTATAAAATTCACCCTTTCAAAGTGTACAATTGGGTGATTTTTTTTTTAAGTAAATCCACAAGGTTGTGCAACCAACACCACTAATTCCAGAACATCTTCATCGCCCCCAAAAGAAACCCAGTACCCATTAAGGCCCAGTCCAGTCCCGTCTCCTTCCAGAGGTTTCTGTAGCACTCCAGCCTGATAACCTCCCCCCCTAGTATCTGCTTGTCTCTTGACTCCTAGAGAAGTGATTTTCTGCAATGATTCTCTGTCTTTAGGGCAGCTAAGCATGCAGCCTCATGGCTTCACGTAAATATTTCTGTTTACGTTGTTATTTTATTTAGAAATATCTTTTCACTTTATAGCCATCTACTGTGTTTTCTTTCCAGTAATTTGTAAGCATCTTTTAAAACTAGGGGTGGTGGCCGGGTGCGGTGGCTGAAGCCTGTAATCCTAGCATTCGGGAGGCTGAGGTGGGAGGATCGTTTGAGCTCAGGAGTTTGAGACTAACCTGAACGAGAGCAAGACCAAGACCCCGTCTCTACTAAAAAAAAAATAGAAAGAAATTAATTGGCCAACTAATATATTTAGAAAAAAAAATTAGCTGGGCATGGTGGCGCATGCCTGTAGTCCCAGCTACTCGGGAGGCTGAGGCAGGAGGATCGTTTGAGCCCAGGAGTTGGAGGTTGCTGTGAGCTAGGCTGACACCACGGCACTGTAGCCCACGCAACAGAGTGCGACTCTGTCTCAAAAAAAACTAGAGGTGGTACGTAATATTTCATTAATTGTATACTGTTTTCTGTGGAATAAGCATTAAAATTTAATATACAGATTCCTCCTGCCACCTATATACTACATGTTATGTGGGAAACTGGAGAAATGCCTACTTTCTCTTGTCTGTTCTCTAAGTTTCTAGTTTTTTCAACTTAGAAGCATACAGTTTTAAACCTGGACGGAATTTCAGAGATGATCTGTTCCAGAATCCTCATTTTGTGTGAGGCGGAGGTGGCTCAGAGCCAGGATGGGTGCGGAGCGCCGGGCCGCTCTGCTGTGCTTTTGTCACATCCACGTGCGCACAGAGCCGGGCAGCGGAGCGGCTCGCTTCTCCAGCCTGCGTTGGCTGCTCGGAAACCTACTATATTATATTGTCATTTTGGTTTTTCTTTTGTGGCATGTATATTTCTTTTCTTTTAAAGAATAAAAGCGGTGGTAAAGCCATGCTGTTTTTCAACAATGTTAGAAAAATAGGAAAAAAACATCTAAATCCTTGCATGTAACACAACCCCAATGATGGCTTTTGGTGTATCTGGTTTTCAATTTGTTTTTCTTTGCCTATTTTTACATAATATAGCCTACATTATATTGTGGCCTTGTTCTCCTCACTGCTCTGAAATTTTTTTCATGTTATTACATACTTCTCATTATTTTATTTTTTGATTTGTAGCAAAAGCTCCTAGAATCCTAATTTTCTTACTCCCCTAGTAGTGGACATTAAAACCATTGCCTATATTTGGTTTTGTGTATATAATGAATATTTTATGTATAGAAGTGTGCAGATTTTTCTCCTTTTTAGTACTACAAATCTTTAAAAATTATTAAACCTTCCTTTTTTTTTTTTTTTTTTTTTTTTTTGAGACAGGGTCTTGCTCTGTCACCTGGTCTAGAGTGCAGTGGCATCATCATATCTCAATGCAGCCTGAAACTCCTGGGCTCAAGGGGTCCTCCTGCCTCACCCTTCTGAGTATCTGGGACTACAGCTGCGGGCCACCATGCCCAGATAATTTTTCTGTTACATTTTTTGTAGAGATGGGATCTCATACTTGCTCAGGCTGGTCTTGAACTCCTGGCCTCAAGCAATTCTCCTGCCTCAGCCTCCCAGAGTGCTAGGGTGACAGGTGTGAGCCCCCGCACCTGGCCAAAATTATTAAACTAAAAATTATTGTAGGCCGGGCGCTGTGGCTCGTGCCTGTAATCCTAGCTCTTGGGAGGCCGAGGCGGGCGGATTGCTCAAGGTCAGGAGTTCAAAACCAGCCTGAGCAAGAGCGAGACCCCGTCTCTACTATAAACAGAAAGAAATTAATTGGCCAACTGATATATATATATAAAAAATTAGCCGGGCATAGTGGCACATGCCTGTAGTCCCAGCTACTCGGGAGGCTGAGGCAGAAGGATCACTCGAGCCCAGGAGTTGGAGGTTGCTGTGAGCTAGGCTGACGCCACGGCACTCACTCTAGCCTGGACAACAAAGCGAGACTCTGTCTCAAAAAAAAAAAAAAAAAAAAATTATTGTAGAAACTTTAAATTCCATGTAAGTGTATAAAAATAAA